CCCAATACCGTCATCCAAGTCATTAATAAAGATATTGAATAGCATGGGGGACCTTGTCAAAATCCTTACTGCAATCAAGATATGCTATGTCTACCACATTCCCTTCATCTAGCAAGCTGGTAATTTCATCAAAAAAAGAGATTAGATTAGTCTAGCATGACTTGTTTTTGAGAAACCCATGTTGACTTTTAGTGATTATGGCATTCTCTTCTAAATGTTCATAGACTCTCTGTTTAATGAACGGTTCTAAAATCTTTCCTGGTATTGATGTCAGACTAACTGGGCAATAGTTGTAGGGATCCTCTTTTTCCCCCTTTTTGAAGATGAGCACAATGTTTACCCTCCTCCAGTCTTCTGGGACTTCTCCTCTTCTCCACGGGTTCTCAAAGATTATTGCTGGTGGTTCTGCAATTATATTTGCCAGTTGTTTTAATATCCTTGTATGTAGTTCATCTGGTCTTGGAGACTTAAATTAATTTACATTAACCAGGTATTCCTGTACTACCTCTTTACTTATTCTGTGCTGCATTTCCCCTATTGTATCGTCTCCTCCATTTTCCACAGGTTGAGCACTCTTTTCCTTTTGTGAGAAGACTGAGGCAAAGAAAGTGTTGAGTAGTTTTGCTTTTTCTCTGTCCCCTGTTAGAATTTCTCCATCTTCTCTGCTCAGTGGCCCTACCATTTCCTTCTTCTTTCTTTTGCTATGGACATACCCCCCCAAAAAAGGCCTTTTTATTTTCCCTAACCCCTCTAGCAAGCTTGAGCTCATTCTGTGCTTTGGCTTTCCTAACTTTACCCCTACATGTACTAGCTATTTTTTTGAATTCCTGTTTAGTGATTTTGCCCCTTTTCCATTTCTTATACACCCCCCACATGGATACAGAGGTTATACTATATTGCAAACAAACAAAAAATAAAAACCCCTAAGTTTTCCATTTCTGTTTTCAATATTATATCTAGATTGTATTACATATCTAGATTTATTTCAGTCTGGTTACAGGCTTGTCTGAGAGCCAGCATGGCATAGTGGTTTGAGTGCTGGACTATGACTCTGGAGACCAGAGATTGATTCCCAGCTTGGCCACAAAGCCCACTGGATGACCTTGGGCAAGACATGTGTTCTCAGCTTCAGGGAATGGCAAACCTCTTCTGAGCAAATCTTGCCAAGAAAACTCCATGATAGCTTTGTCCTTAGGGTTGCTGTAAATTGGGACCAACTTGAAGGCACACAACAAACAGGCCTGTCTATTGGAGGGAGACTGTTTTGGTTGCCTTGGTGGTTGACTTATGCAGGCAACTGGACTGGGGTGTGTGTCCCTGTTGGTTCCACTGGCTTTCTTGGCAGTTTTTGATACCATTGAACATAGGATCCTTCTGGCTGCCTACAAATATACTTTACAAAATGAGACACCTCAGAGCATTAATGGAAAGGCATTGTTGGATGAAATATAGACTGCTAAGTACTGTGGGCTTTTGATTTACTGTGAAAAATGAAAAGAGAGGGAGACAGAAAATGCTGGTTTTGATCCAGTTGTGATCAAATAAAATTGGCTGTCTTTTAATACAGGGGACATGCAATTGACAGCTTATTATCAACGTGTTGTTCTTATGTGCCTTTAAGTCATTTCTGACTTAGAGCAACCCTAACTCAAACCTATCATGGGGGGTTCTGGGGCAGAGAGTGTATGTCTTGCCCATGGTCACCCAGTGGGTTTCCATAGCCAAGCAGGGAATCAAACCCTGATCTCTAGAGTTGTAGTCCAATGCTCAAAGCATTACAGCATGATGCCTTTTTTCTTACAATTTAGGAAGTGGTATTTAGAATTCTCAGACAGAGAACTCCCCTAGTGCCTGTGACTTAACAGCAAATCCCAGGATTTTATAGTATGCAGCTATGGCACTTGAAGAAGATACTCCCATAATTGTGTGGTGTAAAGGGGCCTGTGTGTGTGTTTGTTTGTTTGTTTGTTTTTGGCGTTAAGTGAAGACAACCTTAATGTCTCCCTCCCCCCTGGCCTTTTGACAAACTCTTGTTTTATTATTATTATTATTATTATTATTATTATTATTATTATTTCTTACCTGCTTTTCCCCATAGATCTCCAACAAGAGACTTGGAGGCACTGTTTTATGTTAGTTGTGTCCCATGCTGGTGGGACAAATCCAGAAGGTGGTGCTGGAGAACTACTGTTTTGACCCCTAGTTGCTGGCCTATGGGGTACCTTAGGGTTTGAACTTCTCCCATGCTTTTTAACATCTACATAAAACCACTGGGAAAGATCATATGGAGTTTTGGGGCTTGGTGCCATCAGTATAGATGACAGCAAATCTATTATTCCTTACCATCTAATTTTAAAGAAGCTTTTTTGTTATTAAACTAGTGTCTACTGTGAACAATGGACTGTATATGGGCAAACAAATTGAAGTTTAATCCAGGCCAGTCAGAGGTATTCCTGCTCAATCCAAAGGCAGAACAGGTAATAGGGATTTACCAGGTGATGGGCTTATGGTCCCTCTGAAATCTCAGGTTCATAGTTTGAACAGCCTCTTGAATTTAGCTTTGAGCTTACTACCTAGGTTTCAGCAGTGACCACAGTTAACAATGGCAATAGCAAGTACAATTCTATACTGCTTATCAGTGTACTTAAGCACCCCCTAAATGGTTTACAATGTGTAAACTAATTGTCCCCAATGCTGGTACTCATTTTAGCGACCTCAGAAGGATGCTGGCCTGAATTGAGCCTGAGTCCCTGGCATGTATTGAACTCACAACTTTGTGATTTGTGAGTGGATGGCTGCAGTACAGGCATTTAACCACTGCACCAACAGGGTTCTAAAAAGGTAAACACATGAGCTAATTTGTTTCTCATGAGAACCAGGTCACATGGAGAATGACTCACAGTTAGAAGCTGGTCTAGAGGCTGGAATACAGCAGATCATCCAATCATCATATAGGTCAACAGCCAGGAGGTGGAGTGTGGGATGGCCTTTGTTAAATACTTGTCATATGTCTTTTCAACTTAACTGAACTGGATAACTACAACAACAACTTCTACAAGATGTGATCCTATGGTCTTTGCCATCAGCAAGATGGATTATATATATTTCTTTTCCATTTTTATTATGCAACAATAAAGCTTTACTTTGGATTTACAAATGTGTGTTCATGGAAACAGCATTTCCAGAATGGCTGGTGAAGGAAGCAGGCTTCTGAACTCTGCTGCATTTACAATTATATCACACAAATCAACAGGTGGGACTTTGATTGCTACATTAGCCTTTGGGGGAAATGAACCTGTTTCAGGCCATACAACAAATAAATATCCCAGTCCCTGAAGGCAGATGGGAGGGGAGGATAGGGAAGGCAGATAGCATTATGTAGTTATCAGATGATATCCACTAGCCTCTTCACCTCAAGGAAGCAGAGGAGGCTCACCAGCAGGCAGAAGCCCATTTTGCCATTGAGAACAGGACAAAGGCATTAGGAGGATACCTCTAATTTTCACCCACTATGGCCTCACAAATCCCCACAGCCCCTTACAAAATACCACATTCAAATAGACACTCTGTCCCACGTTGTTGTGTGGGAAACCTGACAATCCTTCCTTGCATTGATAGAAAAGCTTTGGAACCAGTAGAGACTTGACCAGCACAAAAGGCCAGCCTGGAGGCAGAGATTGGGAGGGGCAGCCACATGCTAGCCACCCCAACTCCAGCCCAATGACATCCTGATGTCATATGCCGTTACACATGGCATGCAGCATCAAGACGTCCTCCCGGTGCAGCGTTTTTACACACTGTGCCAAAAGGGGCACTAAAAATCCACGTGCCAGTTCTTGCTGTCCCTGAAAGGAGTGGCAAAAGAGAGAATCAGGGCTGCAGTGTGCGGTTGCCATGACCCCGATCAGTGGCTAGCAGGGGTGGCCCAGAGTCTCCCGTCTGCATAGCTCCTGACACTCATTTTAAAAAATGGAGAGGGCAACCAGTCAGAACAGTGTGGGCAAGGACATGGGAGAAAGGCGGTAAAAGAAAGGGTTAGACAGTTCTCAAAACACGCTTGATATTAGTCTATCCATAATATTTGAGGTGGCCCATCCAGATATGGATTTTCTGTTATGGCACCACAGCCTCATAATTTCTTTCATTGCATTGCTTGTTTGCCTTGGGAATTTTTTGAAAATATGAATGACTTTCTGCTTTGAGGACACATTAAGAGTGGTGATACTTTTAAGTGGTGGTTTTAATAACCTCCACCCAAGGGCTGTTCGACAGTGGAACACACTCCCTCGGAGTGTAGTGGATTCTCCTTCCTTGGAGGTCTTTAAGCAGAGGCTGGATGGCCATCTGTTGGGGATGCTTTGATATGGATTTCCTGCATGGCAGGGGGTTGGACTGGATGGCCCGTGCGGTCTCTTCCAACTCTATGATTCTATGATTCTATGATTCTATGATTCTATATTCCTGTTCCATACTAAAGACTACATCAAGGGTATGACCCGCACAATGAGTAGGCCCAACATCCAATTGGGATAGGCCCATGTTTGTCATAGATTCCATGAACTCCCAAGCTGCACCAGTTAAATTTGGCAAGCTGGTCTTGAGTGGGATGTTGAAGTCGCCTAGAACTAAAAGTCTGGGCGACTCCAACATCAACTCTGAGGTCAGTTGTGTCAGCTCAGTTAGGGAGTCTGTTAGACAACGGGGTGGCTGGTATACCAACAGAATCCCCAAGCTATCCCTGGTCCTCAGGCTTAGGTACATACACTCAAAGTGGACTGTGTTCTGGTCAAGGTCAGGTTGTTTTTGTGAACCAGAGCCACTCCGCCCCCCCCCCGACTTCTTCTTACCTGCTCACTAACTGAGTACCCAGCCGGGAGAGCCTGCACCCAAGTCACTGCACTAGCCTCTCCCAACCAGGTCTCAGTAAAGCAAGCCAGGTCGGCGGCCTCATCTAAAAGGAGGTCATGAATAATGTGGGTCTTATTTTTGACTGACCTGGCATTGCAAAGGAGCAGAGTAAGGGTCTGTGGAATGATAGGTATGCTTTCCAAACCCTTCCAGGAAACAGTGAACTGAAGGCAAGATAGCTATACATATGCACACACCACCTCCACCACCTATAATAAAAATTTGGAAATGCAACCCTAAATTTTTATACAGTGGAAAAAATCAAGGTTGGTCAATCTGTATACAGCTAAACATCCTCATTTTCATCATAGACTGGCATCCTGTGCTATAGTTACAATGCTGTATAGAATCATAGCATCATAGAGTTGGATGAGACCACAAGGGTCATCCAGTCCAGCCACCAATCATGCTGGAATATACCACCAAAGCACTCCTGACAGTTGGCCATCCAGCTTCTATTTAAAAACCTTCTAAGAATGAGACGCCACCACTTTCCAAAACAGCATGTT